GAGTTGGATCGAGTGTTGTACCGGTGAGACAACTTGATTCTGAAGACCAAAGGACCTTAGGTAAGACTTTTGGGAAACTCATGAAATGCATAGTCAAATGTAACATGATGTATGATATGTAATGAAAATTCCACGCTTTCATTTCCAAAAGTTTCTATGCTTTGATTCTTGTTACTAAGCCATGATATTTTTATATGTTTTTTCATGTATTTTTTTTTCAATGTTTTTTTATATTTTTTTTTTTGCTTAACAATTGGAATCAAAGAAATGATGTTTGAAAATGAAATAACATGTATGCTGATAATTACATTAACATGCTATGTATGCAAACATGTGGGATCAAAGTTTCCACAGTACTAAATAGCTGCTGAACTGATAATAGAACCAAGGTCACACGTAACAAGATCAAAAGTCTAGACCAATTCAGAGTACCAAGAACCAAAGTTACCAATAGAACATGTATATAGTCACCATCTGTACCTGTAAATATTATTCCCTCCCCCCTCACGGGTAAAGACTAGGTCAGGGCATGTTAAAGGTAACTCAAAATCACGGGTCCGCCTGAAAATACTATCGTCTTACCCACAGATGTGAGTGTCGATAGCAATTCATTTGAACCTCATCCGAGCATGGTATATGACATGACTTCACTAATCGGACCACATCCTATAGCCTTCATGCCCCCACTCTATTCCAAGTGTCCTAGTGCACTCTGGCCTGGGTACTGGACCTTTTACCTCAGTAGTAACACCCACCCAACAAAGAAACATAGAAACCAACACAACAACAATATAACAAATAACAATAAAGATGCAATGTAAACATATTCTCAAACATATACAAATTAATAAGCTATAAAAGAAAAATTACAAACACCCTAAGAAAGAAAAATGGGAGCTAGGATTGACTCACGCGATGGAATACATTCCTTTTAATTTCCCTAGTGAAGTCGCCATTTTTCTGCAGCGGTAAAATCAATGAAGCCGTGACCGAGTATTTATTTATCCCACAAAAGGGAAAGGAAAATCATCGAAGAAAAACCTAAAGGGGAAATCAAGGTCTTGCGACCGAGAGGTTGGGTAACAGAGTCGATTACACGAGGGGAAGGTATTAGCACCCCACACGTCAGTAGTACTCTACGAGATCCACTCTTGTTATTCTAATCAAAGGGTGTGTTCAACCTAGTGCTTAAAAATTATAAACTAAGAGGGAATGCATGCAAAGAAAACATGGGGAAAAGAAGGAAATATTTACAAATTTTCGCTCGGTTGAGCCCCGTGACCAGATGTCTACGTATCCCTTTTAAGGAAAAAGAGCGCCGTAGTTCGGCTCACATATTTTGTTTGTTTGTATTTTTAATGAACAATGTTAATCTCGCCTTTTGTCGCAACTCGATCTTTGGAGACTTACGCGTCAACGCAGAGGTGACTTAGCATGTCCTTTTAGAAAGAATTTTGAATGAAAAGACCAAAGGTAAAAGAGTTTGTGTTGGTTGGTGTTTTTGCTGCAGATAACGACTAGTTAATCTCAAGAGAGAGATGTTGGCCATTTCTCTACTTATTCATGAAGTAAGTCTTTGAGACTTGAACCACACCAAGGCTTAGAATGGAGGAACAATAAGATCAAGAAGAAACTCGCTTATCATTTCCCATACTCAACAAAGGTATGACTCTCATCAGTAATATTTAAGTTTCTTGAAGTTTGGAAGAAAAAGAAGTTTTTGTTTTAATGAAAATGCAAAAGGGGAAAAAAGTCTAAAGGGAGACTAACCTAAATCTAACCTAATGTTATCATACAATGAGTGATCCTATGTCAAGGATGGAAAGAGAAATCTATACCCTATGTTGACATGCTTGGATAACAGTCCTAATGTCTATCTCAACTCATCATCTATAGATGAATCAAGAAGTCCTAAAGGAGCATAGCAAGGGTCTATCATCTCAAAACATGCACACAAAGAAGAAATCAAGCAAGCAGGCCAATAAGCTCAAGAGAGTACACATAGAGAGATCCTACCTAGGTTAGCATGCCAAAGAAAGTCTAACAAACTATCTTATGGGGAACATACAATGAGAGCGAAATCGTGATCTCAATTTCTAAATTGAGTGACTCATCGATCAACAAGAAATAAAGGAAAGCGACAAAATCCTATAGGGATCATGCACTGAGAGCGACGTCGTGATCTCAATTTCTAAATTGAGTGACTCATCGATCAACAACCAAGGAAACAAACACAAGCACGACACATATAGAAAATGAAGTGCGGAATGCCTGCTACAGGTCTTTAAACAGTGACTTCGAGCGCACGCTCTTTATTTCCTACTTCTCATGATATCTAGAAAGCAATAAAATGCAAAAAATAAATTGGAAGCAGTGTAATACCAAACAAACAATAATGTCCTCAAAAAGCGCAACCAAAGCAAAGAAACTCGGAATACTTCGCGCAAGCTGACATCAATAAAGAAACAGTCAGAGATCGAATGCTCGGAATAGGTGTCAAAGCTTCATCGATGTGAAAGTAACTCACAATCGAAATCCAAACACACCCACATATCAAATGATGAACCTGCATAAGACTTAACTCAACAAGCAAAGGGGATTCACAAGTTTCAAGTAATCAAAAATTAGGAATTAATTTATAAAAAAAAACAAATGAAAAGCCTAAATATTTTTATTAATTTTTGCAATTCATTGTCTAAAATTTTTTTTAAAAGGAATTCCTAAATTCTATATATTTTTTATTGTTTTATTTCATGTATTATTTTTGTACTACTTTTACTAAGAAAATTGAAAGAAATTTAAACTAAAATAAAAGCTAAAAAAGAAACAAGAAATTAGAAAAAATCAGGGAGGTGAAAGTTATAATCAGGGAGTATGTATAACAAACTCTAGGCGCAGGCCCATCAGCCATTGTTATGAAAACATCTTTTTTTTTCTACAAAAATCTCAAGCTACACAAGAATTGATACATTGGGCCAAAGATGTTTTTTTTTAAAAATTATTTCCAGCTGCTAAAAAAACATAACAGGCCCAAAAGCATTTTTGTTGTTCCAATATCCAGACCACTAAAAATGTTGCGCATTCAATTTTTATTAAAAGGATTTAACTGAATAAAAAGAGGAAATGAACAAGGCGGAAACGACGATGTTTCAACCATTAGGTTAAAATTTGTGACTCTTGACCTTTCATAATAGAATATCTTCTCTCTATCAATCGTATAAGTCGCTCTCTCTTCTCTAAGCGTCGCTAAAGATCACCCCCATCGTACCGGAGGCGACGACGCTCACTCAACCCTTGAACTTCTTACATCTTCTGTTTCGCCCCCCTTCCTCTTTCGCAATCGCGGCGGCTCAACCTTATTCTCCCTTCATCTGCTCCGTCATTGTGCTCATCCTCCTGCCGCCGTGAATAACATTACCACCACCACACATACACGCTATTCTACTTTTCGTCCTCTCTTCCTCCTTCAACTGTTTGAAACCCACAAGCCTTAAAGACTAAACACTAGACCAGATCGAAAGAGGAAAAACGATAACCCTAAGCATAGACGACGGTGGTCCAACCAAGAATTGATCAATTCACAGTCTAAGTATCAACACAGTAAGACATTATGGGCAAGAAGATAGCTAAATATGAGAATCGAAACCTACCTTTGGAGATGAATTCGGCGCTCTTTCGAGGCGGTGCATATGGTGTGGAAACCAGATGAAATTTCAGGTACAACTTCTTCTCGTATTTCTTCTTCTTTCTATTTCTTTGAGTCTTGCACGTCCTCCCAGTTGATTTTGCATGTAGTTTCTGTGAACCACGAATTCATGATGTTGATATCAATTTGTTGGTGTTGAATCTATCGCAGCTGCGACGCATTCACCATGAAGCAAGGATTGCCACGGTGATGATGAAGTTGATGAAGGATTGAGAAGTATGATGAAGATGAAGATTATAGGTGGTTGAAGGTGAATCCTGAAGCTTTCTTGATGATTGAAGTGCCAAATCCCTTATTGAGCAAAAAAATCCAAGTTTAATACATGAGAGCGATACTGAGATATATCAGAGAATCAAGATGAAGAAGAGAAGGAGATTTAAGAGTCAATTTCTAGTGAGAGTATTTTTTTATGTTATCTTCTTGTTATATAGTATCCCCCATTCTGTTACGAATTTGTTAGCATCTCCTCCTCCCAATTCTGTTACCAATCTATTAGCCGTTAGAAATTAGTTAGGAAAACCGTTAGAGATGTTAGAGAGTTAGTTATATGTTGATGAGCTGGTTAGAGATTAGAATCAATCTCAACCCTTGGTTAAAGAAAACGGTTAGAGAGAATAGATGGTAGTAGATTGAAACCGCTAGGAGTTAGTTTGGAAAAAAGGGAGTTTTAGAAGCTGGTTATTGGATTCCCCGTGTCATGAATTTGTTAGAGGATTATTATGGGTAGTTGGAAGTTTTTTGAGGTGGTTTAAGGTAGTTAAGATGAGCTGTCAAACTTTCTCTAACTGTTTTTTGATTAGTTGCTAGTTAGAATTGAAATGGCATGGGGATTTTTATTTTCTACTGAACCAGTTTCTTTTATTTGAATTTGACCCTAAACTTGTTATTTTATTGAATTTCCTGAACTAATTCTATACTAATGCATGTGTGCACATGGTTAGTAAGAGTTACAACAGGGTATGATTGTTTTTGCAGGGCGGTTCATGTGGGAATTTCTGTTTTGAATCGCGATGTTTGGACAACTAGTATATGTGTTTTTCTTTTGTACTGAATATTGATCTTTTTACTTGACTGGTGAATTCTGGTCTTTTTGAGATGAATAATACCCTATGGTCTCTGAACTGTACAGGTTTTTAACATATTGCAGTGCTTTGAAACAGGTTAGGGCTAATCATTTTGCATCAGAATTGGTTTACCATGGGGTGCAGGTTTCGTTTGTGATGTCGTTGCTTTTGACTTGTACAATGACTGTTGAGATGGGAGCTATTTACATTAGGCTTTTCTCAAATTATTCCTACTGACATCCAAAGGTATTCTCTCCACCGTAAGTCATGTAAAGAAATCCATCCTCATCCTTATGTTCTTCATAAAGAGAAGACATCAAAGTAGCGGTTGGAGGTAGGATATTATCAACGAAACAAAAATAGCCTTCTCTGTATTGAGCTTAATTCTTTTGTGGATGACATAAACAAATTGACCAACAGACAAGTCAGCTGGAACAAGGTACCTCTTCTTATCAATGTCTGCAATGTCACTTCTTCCGGCTTTCTCCATAATCACGGGTACTCTATCAGGATACTTGTCTCTAATGTGAGTAGATTCATCATGCCTTCTTTCAAAAGGGTGTTGAGTCTTGAAGGAAGCTTTAGACATGATCACACTGGAACAACGAGAACTCTCAGAAGAAAAAAATAGAGGATCAAAGAGAAGATGGAAACTTGACCATGAATGTTGAATGGTTGAAGATTAGGATAGGTTTAGGTTTGTGTAATTTGTGAAATGAAACTTTTAGGATTAGAGTCAAATTTGTGGGACTCTCTTATTTTGCGTAAGGCTTGGTATCTCTTGTAATGAAAGTAGTTGAAGCAAGTGTAGTGATATGTATTATAACTTGCATTTTTGAAGAATCTTGAATGAATTTTTGCATTGACTTAATGTTTGAATCTTTAAATAACTCTTGAACATAATCAAGTAATTCCAAAATATTCCATACTTGCCATGCCATCCTTGAATATTCCTTCTCTCTCTTTTGTATTTCCACTTGTGATGACTTGAGAGTACTAATGAACGAAATTTCCTTTAATTTGTATTTTGAAATTTGAAACATTTTCTTTGATTTTGAAATATAGAATAAACCATAAAGTCTGACATCTCGAATGATGGATGATGAATTTCTTGAATCTTAAATGGAATCATATCTTTGACAATTTTATAATGACTTTGGACGATGAAGGGTTTGGATCCTCTTTGACTTTGAATGGAATTTGAATCACTAACTTTGAATTTAATACAAACCATTATACGAATTTTCTTGAATTAATCTGGGATTAAATGCATTTCTTGAATGAATCTTCAAATCACCTCCAACGAAAACTCAATCCAAATCTTCTATTTAATCAAGGCCCAAGAAGCAAACCTACCTTGATTCACAGCTTGAGCACCAAGAATTATCTTGATGAAATCTTCAATCAACCCTTAATCATGTAATAAATAACATCATAAGAAAGAATTCCTTGATTCAATCCTCTAGACTTCTTAAAAAGAATGTCTATTTGAGAAAGCACTTAGGAGAAACCCCAATTATTGCTTTGAAAAATCTTGATGAAGATAGCTTTGTATTCTGAGGAATTTTATCAGGGAAGATATCTATGAGGCTGGAAATTCAAAACCCCAATCTCGTACCAGGGATAATAATAGCACTAGTTGAATCAATTTTGAGTAAGATATTAATCTCAATTCATAGAGAGAAACCCTAATGTCAAAGCTCTTCGATCCTGTAACCATGGGACCAATGCTATGTGTGAGATGTACAGAGTATGATGAGGGATCTTAGGGGGAAAAATTGGGGTATAACACATCCCTACTTCATCTATGGATATTCTTATCCCACTTTGAAAACATTAAAAAGATACAAATCAACCTTTGAGAAGTATCATTTATCACACAAGTACTAATATATCACATGTAGATGTTTTGCAAAAATAAGAACATGCACTCACATATACCCATATACATGGAGTGACACAAAATTAATCATAAACAATAGGCAATACACATTACCATAATAAAAAATACAAAGGCATGTATTGTACCCCAAAATTTTCCCTCTCACTTATCAAGAATTTTCTCACAAGATCTCATTGGGCTCAAGACTGCACTAGGGTTTGATCAACTCAAGACACCTCCTTATGCACTAATGACCAAAATTAGGGTTTGAGTTTTCACAAGGATTTTTGAACTATCAATGCTTCATATGACTTTCATGGATCATTATGTACCCCCCAAGATCACCCATGTCAAGTTTCATACCTTAGATCACACTTTTGATCAGTCAATTGAACAATCGACCTAAAAATCAGCTATATTGGGGAAAAAGTCAACCATGGCCAATTTACAGTCAAACTTCATAATTTTTTATCCACATCAACACTTTAGACTCATATGTATTATTTGATCAAGTTTGGACCACAATTCCTCAAGAAATTTGATCAAATCTCCAAAAGGGCAAAATGGTCAAAATTAGGGTTTTGACTGGGAAAGGGCAACTTCTGATTTTTGACCTAGCAAATGGTAAATTGGTTTAAGGCATGATCTCAAGAGTCCAATTGCATCATTTTAACCTAATGAAATGATTCAAAACATTGCAAGTCCATTGGATTGACAGATGAATTTTGTAGTCAACTGATCAAAAGTCAACTGTATACTGAAAAGTCAAACTTTGACTTTTTTGGTCAAATTCAAGTGCCAAGGATCATGATTCATAAAAACATGTCAAAATATTAAACTTGTTCATCAAGAAATCAAGAATTCAATATTTCATCTTGAAATGTTAAAATTTCTTAACTTAGAAATTTTTCTAAGTATGAAAATTTTCTTATTTTTTCATAACTTTAAGCCAAATTTTCACCATGATGCAAGATGATTCAAGAGAAACTTCCAACATGAAAGTTGTATATCTCCATGAAATATACAACTTTGCTTCACACAACGTTTCCTGAAAGTGCTAGGATCTCAAGTTATAATTTTGTGAATACATGCTCATGAACTAAAAAAAGACTTAGTGAAATTTTGCCCTAGTTAGGCAGATTTTTGACCTAACTTCATGGCAATTTTTCACATAGTTCTAAGGGAAATATTCAAAATCAATTCAAAGATGAGTTTAAGAGAACATTGCAAGATTTCCAAAATTTCCAAGAAATCCTTGAGATTATTCCTGAGCAAGGAGAATCGAAGGCAAGAAGTTAGGATTTTCAAACTTGAATTACAAGCCATTTTGTGAAGAACACTTGATCCAATCTTCAAGCATGTTGTACAAATATTTCTTTGCATGCTTCAAACTTGATAATCACTCAATAACTTAATGTTTACACAACTGATAGAGCCATTGTCCAAGAAGTTGAGCCATTATCTAAGTTGCATCTCCATTTTGGGAAGAAAGTCACCACTTCCATTTTGGAAAAGTGACTTTAATCACAATGTCAACTCTTCTTGAGCCCATACATTGTTGCTTCTGAATAAAAAGCATTGAAAAGAAATAAGCAACATATCTACAGCCTGCTAACCACCCTGCAAATCCTTGTACTTCACATTGAAACCATGTTTGTCAACTTTGCTTCAAAAACAAGTAACCAAGCCATAACATGTGATTTCAATTTCTGAGTTGTTTCAAGCCTCAAAACCTCTTGCCTATAAGTACAAATACTATTTGCAAGATGACACACGAATTCTAGTGCCCTGAAACTATCTCAAACACTCAAAAACCATAAATTTTCTCAAAAACACCATTGATACACAATTTTGAACCAAAACTCATCATCTTCATTTCCACTCGTGTGTTTTGAAAACCAATCATTCAAACACCTTCTATATATCATACCAAAGTAATCCAGGCCCCTGTTTCAAGACTGTAACTCCTCCATCACTATCCACCATTTTCAAACATCAAGCTTGCAGATTGACTTGAGTAGAGAGGTTCAGGAACTTTCAAGGCAAAGTAGGAGTTGGAATACACTCAAGGAGGTCCAGGAAAGCTAAACAGATCCTCAAGCCATCTCAAAAGTTGCTCAAACTCCATTCACGACTCCACCTGCAAGTGGTAAATTTTTAAACTTCTATCTCTTCATACAAGCATCATTTGATCCTGATTTGTGAAGACAAAATGTAGATATCTTTGCTCTAAAGCTGACCATGTTCATAGTTCCCATTTATATTGACTGTGTATAGAGAATTTTGGATTTGAAATTTTTGAGAAAATTAGGTTTTAATTTAGGGCCAGCAAAATTAGTTTTCATCTTTGAATTTTAGCTTACATAAGTTATATAGTTAGATTCGTGGGATGAAACACCACAACTTTCATGTTTGAACTTTCCATTTTTGTGAAGAGATGAAAAAGATACAGGTGGTCTGGCTAGGCGCAATGAAGAAGATGAAGTAAGCCTCAGGGTTTGTTTTATTTTACATATTTATTGTTTGGTTATATGACCGGATGAAACAGCCACACCAGTGGCAAGCGCGCACGTACTAAGTCACTTCTTACCTAAAGGGCGAGGATTTGAACCAATGTGAACCCCCCTTTTGTATTTTTTTCATATTTTCTGATCCTCTAACGTTTTTTTGCAGGCGCTGGGCCCTTTGGGCCTGGCATTGTTTTTTTATTTGCTAACTCACCTCCCTGCCTACTTTTGTCACCCCCTGGCCCATTTATTTTTATTTACTTATTTATTTCATTTTTCCTTTTAAATATATTTTCTAAAATACTAAAAATCATGAAAAATACAAAAAGTTATATATTTTATATTTCGACTTATTTTATTTTATTTTCCCATGAACAAAAATATTTTATTTACTATACTTTAGTTATTTTTCTTATAAACTTAATTAATGTTATATTATTTATTTTTCTTCATACAATTTAAAAATACATTATTTAAAATACCAAAAAAGACTAAAAATATTTTTAAAGCTATAAATATTTTCAAGACAAAAATACAAAAAATACTTTTTCTTTAAACTTATTTTCTTTTAATCAACTAAATAGAATTAGGGTTTTATTCAAAAATATTTTCTTAATTAATTTCTTTTCTTAATTAATTTAAGTTAATTTAATTTTGATTTAATTATTTTTCTCTAATTAGGTTTAGGTTAAAACCTCTTTCATATAAAAATCCAAACACAAAAATCATTTCTTTCAATTTGCATTTGTACTTTATATATTTCTTCAATTATTTGTACATATTCAATTTGGTTGTAATAGATTAATTAGGTTTATATTATTGCAATCCCCATTCATAAATTGTATACCCCCTCCCACAAGTATTGTAATAGCGTAGTAGCTTTAAATTTCGCAATTTATTGCTTTCATATATACAATGCTAGTAATTAGGTTTTGTATGAAAAGATTAAAACCAACCAAATAGTAAGCCCTAATTCAAGACAAAATCAAGCATGAAAACAACACACTTGCACACAAGCACCCCTAGGGTAAAATCCACTTGGTTGCCTCTACAAAATGGCCATATTACGCATGTGAGGTATCTTAGCAAAAACAAACGAATATAAGATCATAGTCCCTCGATGGCGCTATCTAAGTTTCCTTGCACATGATCTTAGTCCCTAAAAGAGAATGCTAAGATGCCTTACAAACATTGCTAATC